CATAGTTTGTTTTTTTTTTTCCTCAGGCAGAATTGGTTATACCACTACGCAGGTTTGTTTTGGATCTGGACCGGGCGGGAATGTTGAGTATGGTTTTAGAATAGAGGCCGGGGCATGCATCTTTACATATTTATGGCGATATCTAGCAATGTAATACCATATGGCAGTGTGCTATATTATTGAGATGTTGGTCAATTCAACTGTATGGTCTTAGTTCACACTCCAGGATTGTTGCGTTTCGAGCAGCTCCACGTTGCCGATATATATTCCAGCTAGGGTGGTAGTAGGATCATGATGATTGCACATCCTGAGTCATGACCACCGAGGCGAGCACATGTGCCCATATCGACAAGGTCCCCGATAGCATCTACATACACATCTAAATAGGCCAATAACCCATAGGCCCGGCACCACGCATCTAGAGCCCCTGTTCATCGTGAACACAAGCCCCATCATGCGGGTATAGTATAGCCTTACAAGCCTAAACTCCACCAAACATACTGCTGTGTATGAAGATAATGCATTAGTTGCTAAAGTGCTATTGCAATTGCTTTTGCAATATTCAACAAGAACCTATGATGTATCCATCCATCCATTGATTGTGCCTTCATACATTAGCTACCTAACGTACAAGGCATTTGGCTTATTGTCTAAGGGATATATAAACAAATAAACACGCTTTCTTCAACAAGAATCCGATATGGTGTAGTGGCTAACATCGCCGTCTCTCACACGGCAGCCGGGGGTTCGATTCCCCCTATCGGAGCTTAAGCATTTCTTTTTGTTTTTTTGCCCCCCCCCCTCCACCTACCACATCATCTTCCGTTTCATATCAATCAACAACAAGCACTACTAAATAGGAACCATGATTTCTAACCCAATATTTTACCTGTCATTGATCCCCAGCTATGCATCCCCAATCCACGTAGACCAAACCTACAAGGTCCCCAACAACCAAGTACCTTGCAATCCATGAATCAATCAGTCCAATTTCCCCCCCCATAGAAACACGCAATCACATGACCTCTTATCTATCTAATCAACACCCCGATAACCACCATCATCCAGATCCAAAAAAATTTCAGGCGCAGACCAGCACCACCAGCAATCTTCCTTCCCTCCAACATAAATATCACCTCAATATACGTATACGTCTAACGGGAAACAACTCGCAATAAATTCCTCAACTACACTCCCCACCAATTCCTTCCTACCAATTCGAAAATCAACCGATATAGCACACCCACACCCACCTCCGACCCCGCCATCCGCCAAAATGACCACCACCACCACCCAACAACCCCCCCAAACAGCAACCCAATACCTCGACCTGGGGATAACCCTCGCCATCAACGCCTGGCCAGCCCTCACATTGGCCGTGCAATCCAACTGGGGCGGTCCGACCTCCTCCGACAAGCGCGACTGGCTCTGCGGCGCCATCTCGGAGATGATCCAGGAGCGACCCGAAACAGACGCCGAGGATCTCGAGGACGTGCTTATTCAGGTGATGAACGATGAGTTCGACGTCGTGGTGGATGATGAGAGTGCGGGCATGGTTGCCGTGCAGATTATGGAGATGAAGGGGCAGACGGAGAAGGGCGAGTTCGGGGCTATCCAGGAGATGTGGGAGAAGTGGCAGAGTAAGAAGGGCACTGCTTTTGGAGTTGAGGGGTTCAAGAGGGGCGAGGATCAGGATGATGATGATGATGATAGTGAGGAGGATGAGGATGAGGATATGGAGATGGATGATGCGCCGGCGCCGGCGTTGGTGAGGGCGCCGAGGGAGAAGGTCGAGCCTGAGGTGGATGAGGATGGGTTTATGACTGTTGTTTCGAAGAAGAGGAGGTAAATTTCTGTTTTCTACCCTCTTTATTTCTTTTAAGATGGGAATGTTTGTTCTTGATTGGTATTGTTAAAAGTTGTTTTGTTGGTGCTGGTGCTGGTTGATTCCCCATAGAATAGACGCCTTGTTTCATGTATTCTGGCTGTTTGTCTATGCTACAGCTGTGTGATTCATGCGTGCAGTGAATCTTTTTGACTATCCAAATCATGAAAAGCAGTAGAATGCGTGAAATGATAGCAATGAGAATTTTATTGCAAAACCAACAAGCAAGGGAAATGCAAAATCTATAGGAAAGGAGCAAAGGAGCAAAAAAGAATAAAACGGAACATCAAAATTCATCATCATCAGCAACAACCAAACCAGGCTGCTATTGGGATATCATCACCGAGCCTTTTCCCACCCATTCCTCCCGGCCGACAGTCGTAGCTCGTTAAACATCGCCGTTGACCACCGTAGGGACTGCTATTTTTAATGAAAAGACATTCACACTTTACGCCTGCGTCGCCGCCGCCTCTTCGGCAGAGATGAGCTTGGTAATCATACCAATGGCAACGGTTTGACCCTGGTTTTGTATATTAGCATACTTCTATAAATGGCCCTTTAACAATGGCTGCTTACCTGATCACGCAGAGTGAACCGACCCATCTGGTTGTAGTCCTCGAAGCGCTCGACACAAACGGCACCAGCAGTGCTCGTCACCTCGATACGAGCAATGATGGTCTGACCCTTGGCAGCGAAAGGAGGGGGACGCTTGCTGCGACGTCCAGTGCCGGGCTCGCACTTGTGCAGCAGTGCTGCAACAGTAACTTCTTCGACAGCAGAGTGCACGTGCATCACGCAGTTGTAACCAGCCGTGAGAATGCTCTTCAGGTCAAGAATTCTGATCTTGGCCTCGAAAGTCTTGACACAGTTCACCAGACGCTTGGGAGAGCAGAGCACGAATCCGGGCAGGATATCCTCCTCTTCTACACCACGGAGACGAAGACGGACCTGGTCACCGCAGGTACCGGTGGGAATTTCGTCCTCAGTCTCACCATAGAGTGCGGCAATTTCGACCTTGGTGCGGTTGGGCATCATGATGCAGCTGCCGTTCTTCTTGAGCACACCAGACTCAATGCGACCCTCGACCATGGTACCCATGTCACGGTACTTGGAACTGATGGGCATCATGAAAGGTGCGTTGATCTTACGCTCGGGCACCTTCATATCCGACAGGAACTCCAAAAGGGACGGGCCGCCATACCAAGGAGCAAGGTCCGTGGGGACGCGGTCCTTGATACCCGTGGTCCTCTGGGCAGAGATGGGCATGAAGAAGAGATCGCTCTTCTTGTAGCCAAGGTTCTCCAAGAACTTGCCCACCTTGACGGTACATTCGTCGAAACGAGCCTTGCTCCACTCAACGGTAGGGTCGTCCATCTTGTTAACAGCGACGATCAGGGTCTTCACACCGGTGTTTCGTGCAAGCAGGGCGTGCTCACGAGTCTGACCACCCTTTTCAAAACCGGTTTCGTATTCACCCTTACGCGCGGAGATAACGAGGACACCGACATCGGCCTGGGAAGCACCACCAATCATGTGGTGGACGTAAGACTTGTGACCGGGAGCATCCAAAATGGAGAAGTGTCTCGTGATGGTGCTGCCGTCGGCGGCCTTGACGGGAAGCTGGAAGTGAGCACGGCCAACCTCAACAGTCTTACCCTTGGCACGTTCCTCGTTGGTCAGATCCAGGGCCCAAGAGAGGTACCAGGTCTCACGACCAGCCTCCTTGGCGTCCCTCTTGTACTTATCCAAGGTACGCTCGTCCACCATACCGGTCACGTAAAGGATGGATCCACCCAGGGTAGACTTTCCGGCATCGACGTGACCGATGAAGACAATGTTGACGTGCTCCTTCTTCTCACCATAGATTTCCTTCAAAGTAGCCTCATCGACATCGGCTTGTTGCTCCATGGCGACAGCGTCGGCGTTACGAGCAGCCTTGGCAGCCTCGCCGCGAGCAGGGCTGGATCTTCCAGGGCTAGAGCGACCCGAGGGGGTAGGGGACGACTTGCCGCTGGCGGCAGCCTTCGCATCGGCCTTCTTCTCAGTCTTCTCGATAGCCTTGGAAGCCGTCACCTTAGCGGCCGCCTCAACAGCGGCAGCACCCTTGGTATCTCCAGGTGTAGCGGCACCCGAGGTCGAAGAAGGCGTGCTCGAGGTGGGAGCGGGGGAGGGGGTGCCGATGGAAAGAACCTTGGTCTTGGGAGCGGCGGGGGAGTTGCTGGCACCGCCAATAGACAGGACCTTAGCCTTGGGGGGAGCAGCGTTGTTGGATGCGGCGGGCTTCGGGGCGGGTTGAGCGGGCTGGGCGGCAGCGGGGGCGGCGGCAGCTTGACGGGGCTGCTGCTGCTGCTGCTGCTGGTAACCACCGTACTGCTGGTTGTAAACCTGGTTGTTGTTAAAGCCACCAGGCTGTTGAGCGTAGGCGCCGTATTGAGCATAGGCCTGCTGTTGCTGGTCATAAGGGTATCCACCGTAGGCCTGCTGGCCGTACTGGCCATACTGCGGGTAACCGCCACCGTAGGGCTGATAGGTCTGTCCAGGAACGAAGGAAGCAGCACCGGGGGTGAAAGTGGCAGCACCAGGGTGGAAAGAAGGAGCCTGAGGCTGAGGGCGGCCTTGTGCGTTGGGGTTCAAACGAACGCCCTCAGTCTGTCTGGAGAGCTCATCCTCCCAGGAATCGGGGGTCTGGTCGGCCATGGTGTATGTGGGGAAGACGCTAAGAGAACGACAACAAGACAAACACCAAGCAAAGTCCCCGGTATATAAAAAAGGGACTGGTCTAAAAGAAGAAGAATAAGAAGGTGGAGGGGGGAAGATGAAGAGGAGGAGAGCGAACAATGAAAGGCAGAGAGCAAACGCAGCGGCAAGTGAGGGGCGTTTTTCTTTGCGGAGGCTCATTTTCTCTTGTCCGCCTTTGAGTTGATTTTGCACCCCGCTGACTCAGCTGCGCCTCCCCGCCCCCGCGGCTGTGGCGTCTGGCGCGTCAAGGAACCAGCACGTGTTGTGTTTTGCATTGTTTGTCTCGTACTGTTTCTCCGCTGCGAAGAATGACTCTAATAATGACCTCGCGGGTCTGAAACGGGTCGTGTGAGAGAGAGAACAGTGTGGAAGGTCTGTTTAATTACGCCCTTTTTTATCTATATGTTGGAATCCCCGTTGCTGGTGGCAGCCACAGTGGGTGGCCCGTTATCGATAAGCTCTGCAAACCGCCTCAGGGGCGCTACAGATCACTACTATTACTAGATTCCACCAGCTATCACCAAGCTCCATCTTGCTGGGTACACTCCCCTCGGCAGAATCACCCAGAGAAAAAAGACTGAGGGAGGCTTGAATTTTAGGCACAATGGATGCTTTTCTTACGAGGGTGTGTTCGTGCTTATAGCCCCATTTTCAATGTCCTGAGTCTAATCGTGCATTAGCTCACGCAGCAGGCGATGAACTATGCCATTCGGTAAGGATCAGCTCCTCTATCCTACCTACTTTATCTGTTACAGCATTTTCTAACTCTGTAATCAGCTCAGGCATAGCTATCACTGCCAAATATGCCATCAGTCAATCGTCTCGCTTACTCAAAGTAAGTCAAGATTGGTCTGCTTCTACGGAATTTCGCAGAATATCATAGCTGACCATATGCGCTTTCATCCTTCAGAACGTTGACGATGGTGAAGAGAGGGAAGAGCTACTCACGCTTCAGCACCGACTGGAAAGCAAGATACAGGTCATTTCACCTGCCATTGATATGATTGAACTCATGTAAGTGAAGTCGGTTATGGAGGGATCCCACGATGTCTGAAACCTAACAGCTTCTAGTGCTGCAAGAGGCAATACGTCACTAGAGTCAGCCGTGTTTCTCACAAAATCTCTTCGCTGGGATATTCAATCCCTCGGACAGCGACTAGCAAAGACTGCTGCATCTGAAGAACTGTATCTTAGAGGGGCAAACCCCAAAAGAGACCGTTCCCAACACAAGGCGGAGATCAAGCTTATCATTAAGGATATTAAAAGACTTCTTGTTCGTATTGAAGACGCAGTACCGCTGATGAACTTGGCTATCACGACGTCGGGTGCTAAGCTATCAACAAACCTGCCATCGAGTGTGTCTCCATCCCGACTGCTGCAGGCAAGCACCTTCCTGACTGCTGGCGATACGCAATACTCCATGTACCCGTCTCAAGCGGTCCAGATCGGCCCCACATTTACTCTGTCTATGTACATGCTCTTTTCCAGTCACCTTCGGCCGCACGATGAAGAAGGTATCCGCGAAGCAACCTGGAAGGAAGTTATGCACAAGGCGCGTTTGAAGCTCCGCAGGGTGCCTATGGACCTAGCTGCAATCCCTCAGTCCGAGACACCGCATTTCAAACTTCCTGCCGAAGCAAGGATGGACGAATTTGCCTACCAGGTGTTGATTATCGAAGATTTGGATGATGGCAGAGTCCATTCGTTTGACGAAAGCGAACCGCAACCTCACAGCTACGAAGGTGTCAGCACCGCAGGACTACGCGAAATTCTTCCAATCCACGAGATTTCCAAGATCTTCTATGCAGACACCGGCAAGATCTTGAACATAAACACTGAGGGAGAGACCAACAACCCCGTTCTCCTCCTCAAAAGAGACATCAATGCCATCCCACCCCGACGGATGATCGAACGGGACGAAAGCTTGTCCGGCCTCGCCCCCGAAGATCCCGAGGAGGACGACGAGAAGGAGGAAATCGACGAGATCCAAGCGCAGCTAGACGCCCAACTCAACGAGGCAAACGCCAACCCCAGACTACCTAGTTTCCATAAAAGCTCCATTTCCGAGGAATGGCGACTCCCCAAAGACCTCGACCCCGAATGGATTGCGTTCGAAGTCTACAATGAAGAAGAATCATCAGATACCGAATCCGAAGCAGAAGAGGACCACACCTCACCATCCAGAGCAGGACCCATCGACCCGGAAAGAATGGCGAAGCTTTCTCTCCACGACAACACAACAACGCCGTCTCACCGCAGCACCCCTTCTTCAACGCAGCGCATATCCACAGCCACCGTCTCAAACCCCCACTTTAACAACATCCGCACATCCCTATCCCTCCTGGAGACCCTCCTCCGCCTCACCTCCCTCCAACAATTCCAGCAGCAATCCCACCTATCCATCAGCGACGAGCTCCTCAACTTCTTCCTGGAAGAATCATCAACCACCGGCGCCGGAGGCGACGAACAACACCGCCAACGGCTCCGCGCTGACGCAAGACGCAGAGTCGGCTGGGACCCGTATGACGAGAGCCCCGTCAAACGAAGAGGCGAGGACTATCAATACGCATGGACCTCAGAGGGTACTCCGCTCAGATTCTCGCGCGAGACAAGCGAAATGCCCTACTCGCCTGGCGATAGCAGAACCAGAGGATTCCATCTAAGGTCCCGAGAGAACACCCCCGAGACACCGCTACGGTACGGACGCTCCGCTTCCGTACAGTCATCGGATCTGAAGTCCCGTGGTGCTCGGCGCGGAGGTCCATCCTCGGCTGTTCTTGCGAGTGAGAGGTCGAGGGGAGGGTCTCCTCTGTCTAGGAAGTCCACGCCGGGTCCTATTGTGGAAGGGGTTGATGCTGATGCTGATGGTCGGTCAGAAGACTAGGTGGGTTGACCACATTATCGATATGAATATCAAAATCAAGAACAAGCAAATGACGAACGTTACGAATACGATACCGATGCGATATAAAGGGTTTGTACATGAGAAAACTATGAATTCTCCTTGTGAATAGACTTGCATATCAATAGATTACACGTTCTGCAATCTAGTCCCAAAACAGGAATATCTTTCAGAAACGCTTGTACCATATACCAATAGACAAAAGTTGGGGAGGGTGGGAGGTAGGTGTATTTGGCACTGTCAGGGGAGAAAATAAAACAAGAAAGCCAAGGCAACACGCAACTGCTAATACCAAGAACATGTATCGCGTAGGGGGGATGGAAAAGGCGGAACGAACGACGATACTAGAAAGAAAACAAGGAACAGAGTGGCAATCCTAACGCCTGAAGATATCAAACAAACGACACCGCAACTCCTCGCACCGCGATCAACTCATATGTAAGGGAAACAGGGAATCCTTTCTCTCTTTCGGACCAGCCAGTGGTCAGTCAATTATTTGGAGAATCTCTAGCAACTATACGACGCAGTCAAAACTTGTGCTTTACTCCAAGCAATCATCCCATCGTTTACTCCCAGTCGTCATCGCTTTCCTCATCCTTAGCCTTCTCCTTGGGGCTGGCAGGAGTGCGGCTGGTCGCACCGCTGACGAGGTCGTAACTGGATTCGCTGTCGGGCTGGGACTGTTGGTCATTGGACCGGCGGGGTTCCGTGGGCTTCAGGGTAGCCTTCTCGGTAGCAGTGGCAGTAGGAGTGGCAGTGGTAGCCTTGGCGGTTGCAGTAGATTGCTGGACTTGAGGCGTAGAGGGAGAGTCGGTGTCGTCATCGGAATCATCGTCCCACTTGACTTCTTCATCGTCGACGTTGACATCTATAAGACAAGTTAGATATGGTAGAGGGGAGATAAGGAAGGAGAGAGCATACCCTTAAGAAGCTCCTTCCGCTTCTGCTCCTCAGTCTCAATGACCAGACGCAAGAAGTAGTACCGGCACCAGAAGACCGCATATTCCACCTTCTCCGGGACAAGCTTCTCCATAGCAGAGCGCAGCTCCGGATACTTCTCCAAGTCGGCGGCAATAGCATCCGTCTTATTGTCCACGTTGAAAGACTGCTTGAAAGTAGGCCACTCGTCACTCACGGGATCTTTCGAAAAACTCTCCAAGTTCGAATGAATGACATGAAGCTGCGCCTCGAACCGCGTAGCATGGATAACCCGCTTCCCATCTGCATCCTTACTCTCAAACAGTAGCTTATCCGATGAGTCCGTAGACGGCGGCACAATGCTGACCGCATCCTTCAACTTCTGTCCGATGTTCATCCCAAAGCGCAGGATAGCTTCGTCGGCTGCTTCCTCAGCCTTCTCGATCTCCTTGAGTCGGCGGGCAGCCTCGGCCTTGAACCGCGAGAGGAACCCCTCATTATTGTTGTCCGAGCTGGCAGAAGGTCCAGCCTTCTCCTTATCCCCGGACTCATTCTTAGGTATAGATGACGATGTATCTGTCTCCTGTTCAGTCGTAGTACTGGTGCCAGAGCCGATGATGTTATTGTTGAAAGCCGTGCTCAGGGACAACCCCCGCGTGCGCCCGACGATACTACTCTTCAGATCCGAGAACCCCTTGGCAGCTTCTTCGCTGGCGGCGGCGTATTCCTGGCGAGCGCCTTCGTAGTAGCTTTCGCCTTGTTTGCGAACATTGTCCCAGAGTCCACCGATGCGTGCACCCCAGGGGCTGGCGGAGAAAGCGCGGAAGGTTTCCTGCAGTTCGGCGTTAAGGTCGACGTTGGGGCGGTCTGAGTTGGTGGCGGGTGCATCGGAGGGGTTGTTGTTGTTCTTGCTGTTGTTTTCTTTCTTGGCGGGGTCGTTGGAGGAGAAGATCTCCTCTTGGATGTGGTCGTAGGCTACATCCATGACTGCGGGAGGGTTGGACAGAATCAGAGAGGGCTATCAGATGAAGTTGGAGGGCATATCGTGGACTGGAATGAGGGATGCGGAGGATGTTCTGGTCAGTCAACTGGGCGGTTTCGTTCCCGGGGCTACGACGGCCCGACCGCCTACTCACTGACACCTTCCACGTGGTGAAGGACTACTACAACCAGGGACTTGAAACACGGTGAGCGAGGGATATAATATATGATTGTTTGCTATATATGATCTAGTCTCATGGGGTATTTCGATGCCGTGTCTCATTAGTGTCGTCATATTATCGGGCTGTCCTATCATGTAGAGTCTAGGAGTCTGGTAAGCTGTAGGGTTCTCCAACGCTATCTTGGCTATCCATCAAGAAGGCCGGAAGGGGCACGCTTTCCATCACACTCGATGTGAGAATCTGGCTGCCGGTCAAAATTCCACGAGGACCGGAACTTTCCTCCTGATTCTTCTTGTGGAGTCGGTCTGCTGGCTGTGAAGACTCCACTTGTACCACGTCCCTTCGCGCAAGGGGCTCAGGGGGAATGAACTCCTTTGCTCGGGTGCCATTTCCTTGCCGTGCGATAGGTGAAGATTCCGGAACCATCTCCATTGGAGCCTTGGCGGAATTCTGTGCCTGAGTCTGGCTAACTGCTGGTATGCCAGGTTTGGACATTGCACGACTGTCCCTTCTAGGAGATGACGGCAGGGGTGACATGGCCCGGAGGGTTTGCTGGTCATTTGAATCTTCTGGAAACAGCTCAGCCAACTTCTGGGAGCTTAACGTCGGGATTGTACCAAGGGGAAACTGGGTAGCTGGCTGCAGCCTTTGGTAATATATCGATGCTTCGGAGGTGGGGTTTGGTTCCGGAAGCGGGAGTTCTGTTTCAACGTCAAGTCCGGATGAATCCATGGGCGGAAGGTCTTGGTCTTGCGAATCATTTTTCGAGGGATCAAAGTCAAGGTCATCAGTTGCATCAGGGTCACCTTCGACGGGCTCTGGGCTTTTGGGAGAAGCAGGCGCGTCGGGTAAATCGTCTTCAAGGTCGCCGTAGTCGCTCTCCGCATCTGTCTCGTATATTACCGTCCTCTGTGAAGACATCGCTCCCTCTTTGGAGTCTAGAAGCCCAGAACTGCCATGTAGACGAGCTGGTTTCGTGGGCGTCTCTGCTTGATCGGCCGATGTTTGATGAGGTGTACCTTCTCGACGGGAAATTGGCGAGTCTAGATTGCCGGATTCCGGCAATATATCGTTGGGAAACAGCAACATCGGCTCTGAATCTTGGTGAGGTTCTTCTTTGATGCGATGCATCGTAGGTGACTCTTCCTTGATACGCCGATCGGGAATGCTGACAGGTACATGGTTTTGAGGAGAACGAGTGGCGCCGCGGAACTGAGAAGATGTAATTATTGCAATACCAGGACTCTCGGGAGACTGGGACGAGGGTATCTCCTGTTTGAAGCGTTTCTTTGGTGTCACTGGAGCTTCGGTCGCTCCCCGATCATTCGTAGCTTCCGTAGTCAGCGTCGCACCTTCTTCATCCTTGATTTTCTGTGCCTCGTGTCCAATTGAGTTGGATTGACGGTCATCCTGTTGTTGGAAACTCTCGGGATCCCGAGAGCGCATTTGCTGGCTATTTTGGCCATCGCTCTTTTTAGGAGTAATGTAAGTATAGTCCAACTTCACGTCATCGTCCGGTTCGATCTTCAGATAACGTCGCACGTAGTCCATTTGAGTTAGAGTCTTATGTCCTTTCGCCTTTTCCTTGTCTTTCTTGCTGATATTGCTGCCCTCGCCGCTTTTTCTGCGCTTTTGTTTCAAGTCGCCGCCACCCTGGGAGCTCCTCTTTTTCGGCTTGGGAGCGGCATTCTTTGCACCTCGTTCGAACTTGACCCCACGAATGTCAGCCGGCTTCGGCTTCAAATGCGATGGCGGTTGGTAATCGGCGTCATTGTCGGAGTCATCATCAATCTGAATCACCTCAGGATCTGCCCGTCGCCTGCTGCGTGACTTGCTGTCGATGTAGTCGAGATCATCGTCATCGCCATCAGACCCCGTGTACTGGGACTTTGGCGTGACGAAGTCAATCTGCGTAAGTGTCGGCTGATCCGGCAGACCGGGGAGAGAGCTTCTCTTCCAGGATCTCGACGTCGATGCAGAGGACGCAGGAAGCTCTGTCCTGGCTAATGCTGCCTTGGCCGCGTTGGTCTCTGTTGCCGGACGTACTCTAGGAGGCTTGTCTGGTGTCTGAAATTGTCCCTGACTAGTTGTGGTGCCGGTTATACCCGTACTCTCACCTTGTCTCATCGCAACTCAGAATGGTCAGTGTTGTAGGCGAGTCTGCGGAGAGCCATAGGCATTGCATGAGTCAATGGCCTCCGACGCAAGCTCGTGGCCGATTAGATCAATGCGGACCGCGTTAATGGATTGATTCCTCAGTCAGCCAATTCGCGTCACGCGTCGAGCCCGCCATCGCATGGTCCGTGCGTTCAGGCAACAAGGCAACCACATGGCTGTTGCTCATACTCCGCCATATTACTTTCTGGTTTACTACGATACTTCGCACGCGATTTCTGACGGACTTTGAAATTTCCTTCTGTTGCCATTCAACAGGATTCGAGAAGCCCTCTATTTATACCCAAAATATACTAACCAGCTACCATGGCCTACCCGGCCTGTACCAGCCCTAAAGCCCATGATTTTGCTGCGCTACTAACAGAGACTGCATAGCAACCAAATCTCAGCTAAACAGAGAGCCAGAACAACAGGGGAACGAACCAGCGGAAGAGCAGGAAAAGGAACCGTGAATGCAGCTCAGGAATTTGACATATAATGGCCGACTCTCATTGGCAGACCAGCCATCCATGCTTATTCAACTTACCCATGCTGCCGATTGAGTTCAGTATTGCGTCACTACAAGGACTCGGGGGTGCACCAACCCATCTACCTATCTAGAATGATGAACTCTTCCATTCTTACAAGTACTATCAGCGGTGGCAGGATCACCTCTACTAACCTCTACTCATCAAGAATCTCCAGTTGAATTCAACCCCATTCCCTCCTCCCAGAAAGCCTGTCGAA